ATGTACAAACTGGGTATTATGTTTGACTTTTGTTCGTTGCCAGTTTCTGAGCTCCTTACTACCACACTCTGTCACAAATACTTCTGGCTAATGAGAAAAACTACTGACCCTACTTTCTGTTAGTTTCCCACAAATTCACAGTCAATGGGTTCAATACACTCTTTCCAAAATGTTTTACAAACTCCAGAGCATGTCAGTGGCTGCTAATGAGAACAAGTTAGTGTGGCTGCACTCACAGAAATAAACAAATGAACATTTGATGATTAATATAACAGTACTCTTTAATCCATGTTCAGATTATTTACACAGCCCTAGGTCATCATGCATTATGCTACTTTGCTTGCCTTTTATACTTTTTCATTGAATAGATTTTTAGAGTACCTAACTACAGATGATGGAAGTGATCCCTGAGAAGATTAACCTGAAAAAAGCTTCAAGTTTCAACTGTCAAGTTTCAGGAAGCAATCCTGAGGATATGCCGCAAGATATGATATCAGTATCAAGAACATAATATTACCAGCCTTTTCTAGCTGATACTCTCAGTGCCAAGACTGTCTTGTGTTGTGACCCAAACTGTGGCTTTCAAAAGATGAAGCCACTGCCTCTGGTCTGTTCAGCCTCTCTCTGAGAATGTGACCCTCTGCTGATTAATCTCTTTTTAACTATGTCTGGCTCTGGGCCAGATCCACAGGCCCACGCTCTCTTTCTGTTTTTATTATATCATTTCTTTCAGAGCTTGACACTTGCCAGGGAAGGCAGTTTGCCCTTTCTTTTTTCTTCTCTGATGCTGCCCTTCAACACAAGGGCGTCCCATTCTACTACAAGGGACGCTTGCATTTAAGAAAAGAAAATGTGACATTTTTGACATTTAGGTGGCTAAACCTCAAAAAAACGACTTCACCTTACCCTCTTCCATTTTGCCCTCTCCTTCAAACACGCCCTTTACTTCTCCATCCCTCATTCCCCTTCCGCACACTGCTCTACTCACCGTCTCCGTGGCGGTAATAAGCTGAACACTGCATTACAGTTTCCATTCATCCGTGCCTCTGTGATCTTCTCTGTGTGAATCGGAGTCCTGTGGTGCCTGCTGGCTGTGAAAGCTACAGAGGATAATACCTGCCTGTGGAGGCTGACTGCCACACTGTACAATATGTTCACCTTAATAACTGTTGTGACTGCCCCAAATGTCATTACACTCATGGAGAAGATGAAAGCCTCAGAGTGTGCTTTGTGGTTATAGTAACTACTTTCATTCACTGGAAAATGGGTAAGAAAATTGCAGTCACCTGGATGTGTGAAGGCCCCCCCCCAATATATGCTACTTTATAAAAACAACACGGCACAACTCATTCAAACTGATGAAGGACAGCAGGATTATCTGTGTGCGTCTGAGTTGATGTGACGAGTTCTGCTCCCGTTGAACCCACAGAGTCAGGATGAAAACACACATACGCACACAAACACACACACATGGATGTTCCCATAGCCTTTCCGAATGGTTAAGCAATATCTTTCACTCTCTCTGGCACTCTCACCCTCTTTCTCCTCTTGTGTTTGACTCTTACTTCCTCACTACATGTGTCAGTGTTCCTTCATTCCGCCTTTCAACTTGCCCTCATACACAGTGGTGGACCATAGTTTATTGTAGTGACTATCTAAAAAATGCTTACTTCCCCTGAGTCTTGTGTACACCCATCCTAAGTGAAGAGTAAGATTGCTTATTAGAGAGGTGCTAGCAAGCAACTGATAACAGTAGGGGATCGATAATGTGTACAATTTATTATATTTGCTACCAGATCTAATGCATCTAATACTGAAGTGGGCTAGTACTAACTGATGTCAATGTGGGTCAGTTAAATAGGTTTTAGGGGTGTAAACTGACACAGAATGCACAATACAGATATTCACAGGGGTTGCGGAAGCAGCTAAAAAAACACAATCAAAAACAAAAGCCAAAGGAAATGCAAGGTTTCTGCACTCTGCACTCCAGCAAGCTCAGAGTTAAGTTCCAGCTAGATCTAATGAGCAGATTCTCCCACCAGAACAACCAATTAAGGCTTCTCATTAGTGGGTTTGACAGAGCTGCCACTGTTCTGCACATCCTGAGAGCCTGACAATGAACATGGCACCGATGATTATAGATAAAACTATACACGCAGCGAGGAGCCTGACAGGAAAAAACACACCCCAGAAACAGACACGCTTGCCTCTGGGCTTCCCTTTACAGCTTACAAAACATTGTCCTTCCTGTCTGCACCAAAATTTATACTGAATGTGGACTAATATATGTTCCACTGCACAATCCCATTAAAATGTGGCTTTGTGGCTGCTAATCATGAAAGCTTTAAAAACTGAAACGTTATACTTGCCTCTAAGTGCGCAACATGTGCTGCTACACAACAATAACCTAAACACCTGCAAAGCAAAACAACATGCATCACCAAATACAATAATATTTTATTTCCTCAGTTGCTTTTTTGATGTTGTACTAGGTTGGATTAAATTGTATAGGTGTCCGTTCTTAATTTGAGAACAGAAGCTCAGAAACTGCATTTAATTCTAAGAACACAGCTGTCTCATAAGAAAATCTTCAGCTGATAGGTAGCTCCAAAAACTCTTCTTGTTAATGTACAGTAGCTGTGTGCATGAGGACTGAACAAGCTCTTTGTTTTCAAACAGAGATACATAGCAACGGAAACGACATTACTGGAAAATCTACGTTCTGTTCATGATATTAGAATAAACACTCATGCCAAGTCAAATGAGGTGCGGCATCATCAGAGTCCACACATAGGGGTTTTTTGTTTTTTTTAAATAACCGAAGAAAAGCCAGACATGCTGGTTGTTCTGCACGCAACCCACATGGATATGTATCAATATGTTAAAGTATAATCAGGTCCCCTTTTCCAAATTAAAATAAATAAATAAATAAATAAATGAAACTAAAAGATCCTCATACTGCCCTGCACAAGGTTTTTTTGGGGGCTGGAAACAGGCACAAAGAATGATTGATCTGCATATCAATAGTTATAGAAACATCTGATAAACAAAAATGCATTTTAAGCTTTGTTCAATTACAACGCACTTTAAAACAAACTGGTAAAAAAAAAAAAAAAATTATCTCCATTCTGGTAAATTTCATTTTGCGGAAGGTCAAAATGTCTTTGGTGGGTGTCAAAATAAATAACTAACGAGTGATGTTTGAGAGACCCACAAGAAAAAGTTAGTGGTTGGTTGTTTTGAATGTACCTACCTCTCGAGCAGGGCTATCACTGACTACACTTACTATGGCCTACACCACACTGAGAAATAAGAATCACATCAACAGCTTCCCACCTCCACCATTATGTTAGCTTGTGAGCGCAATGACACTGCATCCATCTGTTTAGTCAACAACAGCTACAACTAGGCAGGCCTGAATCTATTGAGAATCTAAAGTGGTATGTCACCACACTAATATTTATGAAAGGGCAGAATTGGCCTGCTGTGCTCTAAAGTCCTCAAAGTCTTCTCTAGCCTACAAAAAATCTTTGCACTGAATGAAAAAAACTTCACAGCTACATGGAAGTACAACAACTGTTGCAGCCTGGGAAATAAACTGATTTACTTTTAGAAACAACAATAGTTAGGCCTTTGATCCCAGTGTATGCATTAGGGGCACAGCCTGGGACTATCTACTGTCCATGACTTTATCTCTGTCCTGATGTCCTTCATTACTATCTGACCCACCTTCCTTTCACATAGAGAGCAGAACACCACAAGCGGAGTGACACTGATTAAGGTCATGGGTACTTGACATCACATACTATGGCGTATGATTAGATTTAAGAGTGACACTTAGGAACCCAAGTACATGGCTAGATGTCCTAATATTAGTCGGTGTGTATTGCTCAAAGTTGTGGTACTTCGAAACATCAAACACAGATAGCCGTGGATATATTGGATGTTTTATGATCAAAAGGAGACATTTAAAGAATAACTTCTAGAAAAGCAGCATACTTCATTAATGTTAACAGTGGCACTGAACACACAGACATGAACAGATACGTTTGCTAGTTGCCACCGAGTTTTTACAAGTCAGCACAATCTTGGCTCTTTCCAGTCTGCCTGCATTTGTCTGTAAAGTAGCTACGTCCTTCCCATACGTCAAAGCACAGATTCTACGGTGCTGTCTAGAAAGCAAATAAGAAACACAAGTACTGTTCTGCATGTAGACAGATTTATGTTACTACACCAATAGCAATTCTTCTTTAATATCCTGGTCATGAGAGCAACAATTGTATTTTGTCAAGCCAACATAGCCTAAACCAGAGATGTCAAGCTCATTTTACATCATGTGCAACATACTCACTTTGATATTAACTGGGCCATATAAGGTTATTGAAATTGAAAGTAATGAAAGTGGAATTTCAACAGTACCTCTCAGTTTTTCTACATGTAGTAAATGAAAGAAGTCTTTCAACACATCACTTTGAGTTTAAACTGTAAGAAATAAATGTATAAAACTGCACAAAAAGTTAACTGGTAACTAAATGTCCAGAGTGTCCTGTAATTAATTTAAATAATTTAATTATTTATTTAAAAAAAAGAAAATTCCACAGTGGATTGTGAAAAAACGTGAACTTTTTTTGTTTATCTTTTACTTAAGTACTTTAAAGTTGTTTAAATTACCACTAGGAGGGTATTTAGCCTGATGAAGTTCAAAATTTATCCCCACCTACACATTTTCCAAAGCTGTCCAAACGACCGGCTTGGAGTAGTTGCCGCGCCAATTCTGGCCCCGGGCCTTATGTTTAAAACCCCTGGTTAAAAACCTCTTTGAAATGCAGTAAACAAACAACGTGGACTGCGTTTCCCAGACAGCTTTGTGAACCAGTCACGAACACGAAACTATATCAAACAAATACCAGTTATTTGAAAACGGTTTTAAAAGCACATGTCAGCACAGCCAAATAAAGGGAGAAAAAATAGAAAGAAAATGTAATTGCATACTCACTCTGAACAGCGTGGTGTTTTTAAATCTCCGTATACTACTTGTTAACTTAGCGGCAGGAAGGAGCTACACGTATTGTCCCGCAAAAACGGAGCCGGATGTTTGAATAGTCAACGATTACCATGGCGTGTTTAGACGAACCAACCGTTAATGTGAAGTTACCGTTACCTCAGCGGTAGCATTCACCTAACTAAAACCCAATGCAGCTACCACGAGTAAGGAAACTCGGTCTATTCATTTAGATAATCAATGTAAGCTAGGCAGGTTTTTACCTGCTTCACAAAATCTTTGATGCTAACTACCTAAACACATCCGCGCGCGAGGAGCAAGGGGCATGAAGGTAGCTTAGGTGATAACAGGGATAATATGGAAGGAGATAGGCGCCATGAAGCGCCTCACAGCGAAGGTATGACCAGAACTCTAAATAACACCTTTCAGTAACAAACGCGGTGTTTGTTCTGCCTTGTTAGAACAACTACGTCTGGTTACAATAGGTACTTGCGCAGGTTAAGTACGCTACCGATATATTACATACAAAATACCCCCAAAACGCGATGAATCATCTGCAGTAGCTGATGTAGAAATCACGTGATTTAAAAGAGGCCAAATTATTCGTTACCTGTTGTTAATCTCCAACGATGCGTATGAGGAGACTTTCCCAAATGTGGACTCGCGCTCCAAAAAATAGCGAATGTCCCACTACCTCAGCCTCCAAAAATCTCAACTACAGTCCACACCGAAGATTTAGTGAGGGCGCAAAGCAGACGTATCCATCATCCACTAAGGCCCGCCCCATACAGTGAAAAACATCTTTTCGCAAGCTCCCATTGGCTTAGAGCCATTACTGTATTAGATCTTGATATGTGATTGGGCGCACGTATTGTCTTTTAGCGTCAGTGGGACGTTCAGTGCGGATATGGTAGTGCAAATGTAGCGGAGTAGCGCCCTCTCGAGGACGCAAATGTTAATGATATTTTTTACTTCTTTTTGGGGACTGGTTTAATTTTATTTAGACTTGACATTGAAGAGTGGACGAATTTTAGCTTAATATGTGAAAATAAAACAGTTTTAAACATTGAATAAAATGTAAATAAAGATTTAGTCAGCCAATGATTTTAACTGTTTTTTTATTGTGGTTTAATTTATTTGAGTTTAAAATATACTTTGTTTTTTGCCAAATGCCATAAAGTAACAGGAAAATGCACAGACCTCTGTAAAGTCAGGTAATGCATATTTTTGACTTAACTACATGTGGAGCACATATGAGTAGTCACACCTCAAGGACACAGGAAAAACCTGCAGATACAAGTAGTAGTGGTAGTGAAGGCAGATGAGTTTAAAGACCTTGAGTCAACCATGCAAAGCAACAAGACAGTGCACGAGAGGGGCGAAAGAGAGTGGAGTGGGTGGAGATCAGTCTCAGGGGTGATTTGTGACAAAAGAATAGCAGCAAGAGTAAAAGAGAAAGTTTACAAAGGAATAGTGAGACCTGCTATGATGTATAGTTTGGTGATGGTGGTATATGTTGGACAAAATATACCGATGATGGAGCTGTCGGGCAGGAGAAAAAGAAGAAGACCTCAGAGTAGGTTCATAGAAGTAGTGATAGAGGACATGCAGAGGGTTGGTGTGGCAGAAGAGGATGCTAGAGAGAGGTATGATGGAGGGAGACTATCCACTTTGGCAACCCCTGAAGGGAGCAGCCAAAAGAATAAGATGATGCAATACGGGTTCAATATTGTTTCTAAAATTTTGCATGTGAGTTGGTCAAGACATGTTTTTCTGTGGCAAACTATTTATACAGACTATATTTTTAAGTTATGCATTTATTATTAACATGCTTAGCCTTGGGGTTTGCTTAGTTTATTTCTAATTACAGTTCCTCGTGATTTCTAACCCATCCTACAGAAGTGACATCAAGCGCATTAGTTTTTAGCCTCCATTTCACTTTCATAAGCAGTTTATTTCCAATTCATGGGGAGGAGGGGGGGGGGGGGTCCATTGCATAACGTGAAGCACGGCTGCTGCTAAACACACCCGTAAATAAACACCAATGCGCACACCCAGATTAACAAAGCTCAAGTAATTGGCTTATAGAGTAAGGCAGCATGCAGATTTGACATCTACAAAAAGAGGAGTAAACAGCCACACAAAGACAGCAGTGATTTATAGCAGATTTTAAACAACTAAAAGATAAAGCTGAATGATTGAAATATTAGTAACTGGTGAAAATAGTGTGACATAAACTCTCTCAACTGGAAAAGATGACTGGATTTCCCAGTTAGGTAACTGAGAGGCGGGTGGAGTGTGTGCTTCAGTGGACTCACCATGGGCAAAGCAGCATTGATCCAGCAGCAAAGCAGTCCAGAGGAGCATGCACGATGAAACACAGAGAAGTTCAGTGCATCAGAAACTGCTTTAAAGCCCATGCATTATTTCACATCACAGCCACATGTTTATTTTATGAGCTACATCCACTACATTTGCACATGGATGCACTTAAAAAAAAAAGAAAATGAGTTCATGCTTTTATATGCATAGGTAAACTAGGTTTTTACACAACCCTGTTTCATTGAGTCTGCTCATCAGTGAAGGTGACACAGCTGATTCCTTTGCACCTATGAGTCATCCAGACCAGCCATGGGGAAAAAAGACCATACACAGCCCATCCCCTCACAGCATCGACAACGCAACAATTACTCACATTCTGTTAAAGTCACCTTCATTTGTGCCTAAAGTGTTCAACCGTTTTTATCTCACGGCCCTGTAACAGACTACTAAAAGGCTAGTTTTGTCTCTGCGTAGTTTAATGTCAACGTTTTTCTTGCTTCTAAGACATTCAAATTTGTGTGGCTCACCATTAAGACTAAGATCGCAATAAGAAAAACTACAGTAAACAGCAGTTAGGTTTTCTATAGCCCTGAAGGCATATTAAAAGCTTGAAAAGTGTACCTGATTGTCAAAGGTCCCATGTTGCAGAAATAGATCCAGCATTGAGATTAAGACAATCTTATGACTTGAATCTGCACTTAATCAGCCTGACTCAATCTATGGTGCCTGTATCTCTCTCTCTCTCTCTCTCTCTCTCTCCTAGCACTCTCTCTTCTGTTGATTATCTCATCCCTTCCTGTTCTGTCCTACAGAAACCTCTCAGTGCATGGTGAGCACCCAGCAAAGCTGTGGACTCTTTGCTTTCTGCTCCTTAGAAAGGCTCACAGTGTGGATAGCTGTGTCCTCCCAGTAAACCTATAACTTGCGCTCCAATTTACACAATACAACGGTATTTACAATGAGAACTTCAGCATTTTCACAGCCAGGGAGCTACAGTAGGCTAGCTGTTTGGTTTCACATACAAACACGAGATCAAGCCAGTGCAGATTCTCTGGAGGATTAGTGGCGAGCCCTTCTAAGGAGAATTACTCTGACACAGCCATCTGGATAGTAAAACATTGCCCACTAGATCAACTATTGCCCTGCAGGTCTGTACCCTCATATGAGGACGAGCCAGCTATGAGCCTGTCATCCTCAAATCCTAAACTGAGAAACATTTATCTCTGTAACCTTTAGAAACTAATCAGCCCCCTATCTTTTATTAGGGAAAAAAAGCTTGCTAAGTATTATTTAATGATTGGTGCATCCTTTCAGACTAATGATGTTCATGTAATTATCATCAGCAACAACTGTAAAGACAAAAAAAAAGCTAGATTTTTCTTTTAATCCACCCCCCATGAAATTCAGTCCAAGATTTTTTTAAATACAAGATCTTTATGATCTAATATCAGGTTACACTAGTTAAAACATCCTGAGATGTTTTCATCTCATTTGAGATGCCACATCTCATTTCTTTATACTTTACTTGAAATTTTGCTACAATTTATGGAAAAGTGCAAAAATAAATGGAAATGCAGTATACAAATCAAAAACAGCTTATACAATCCTGAAATGTCCAAAGTCCATATTTTGTATGACCAGCTTTATTCTTCATAACAGTAGGTCTTAGACAAGCTTTTTTCTCATCTCTTTTAGTAGTTTTCTGGAATAGTTTTCAACAGGAAATTCAAAGCTCTTCTTTGGATGTTGACTGCTGTTTGTTCTGTTCACCATGCAGATGATTTCAGACTGCTTCATTAACGCTGATGTCCGGGTGCTGGGGAGGCCAATCCATAACTGATAGTGCTGCAATGTGTGTTTTTCTATCCAGGTATGTTTTTACTGCATTAGCAGTGTGTTTGAGATTCAGCTGTCCTGCTGGAAAATGAAGCTGTGGACAATCAGACATTGTACAGATGGTTTTGTATGGCACACCAAAATCTAAAAGTACTTCTCTGTGTTTATAATTCCATCAGTTTTGACAAGATCCCCAACACCACTGACTAAAATGCAGTCCAAACTACAATATAGACTCCACCGGATTCTACAGTTGGCTAGGGACACTCATTGCTATACCTCTCTCCTAACCTCCTCTACATATGAAAAACAGTTTGAACTAAAAATGTGAAATTTAGATTCATCACTCTATCAGAACTTTCACACCAGTTCTTGTTTAATTTGGCATACCAGCTTTTTCTCTCCGTTGCCTTCCGTAGAAACGGGTTCTTGAAAGCCACCCTTCCACTGGGACCATTTCAGGTTTCAGTGAACAGTCGATGGATCATTTAAGGGGCCAGCTACATCACTCAGGTTCTGTGTCAGGGCTTTGCTGCATTTCTTTCCTATTTCCCAAGGAAAGGACTTTCAGATAGTTTTTAGGCCTGCCAATTTCCTCCGATTTTTTAAGGACACGCTGCACACCATGCGTAGATATACCAAGATTTGAGTAATGCCGCAAAACTGTTTGATCCCCTAAGTTAGATGTTTTTTTACACTTGAATTGAATGTTATGCTTGATTCACAGGCCAGAGTTAAGTGGCTTAACAAACAAAAGAAAAAACTCAAGCCTCTGATAATGGTAAGGTACAAGGACCAGACAGAAAATTAAAAAATTAGTAGTAAAGCAACCAATGAAAACCTTTGAAAGACCATCAGAAAGCCTGGAGAACTATTACCGGCTCCTTGGAAGCAAAATATAAAGAAATGAGGGGTGGCTCAAGACTATTGCATGCTACCGTTGCTGAATGTGATGCCATATATTTTAATCATTTCAAAAATCCTTCTCAATCATCAGTTGAAGAGTAGGAACAACACTTAGTTTATGATACTATGATATGTAAATATTATAAAAGCTGTCAAATGTGTCTTTTGTTCTGTAATGTCTATGAAAACTTCTCAGGGGTGATTTTTCGAATTTTAAAAGGTTTCATCCATGGCAACACAAATGGCAAATAAAACATGCACAAGGGGAATATAATACCTGTATTAGTCCTGAAGATTGCCAAGCATAGAAGGGGAAACACAATCACATTTAACAGAAATACACTAAAACACCCCCCTACAATACCCCTGATTCACTGCAAACCATTTCTCGTTTTCACAGTCAGTGAAACTTCTCTAAGCTAAGTGGTATGCTGTCTATGCACCTCTGTTGCCTGCAGTCTACAAGCTGAAGAGATGTACAGCTTCTATGCTAAACACATGCTAAGACAGGACAGTACACCCACATTAGGCAAAAACACTGAGATGGATTTTACCTGACAAACAGCTGATAGGCGAGGATTGAGTGGACTGCAGACTTCCCTGAATAAGTCTACTTCTCTTGCTCTATCTTCAGCAAATACCTTAACACTGAACAAATACTTCTTTATCCATTCACACCTATTTGCTGTTATGTAAAGTCAGCCTTTAACTCTCTCACTCCCTCACCCTGCCTCTTATTGTGTTTGTGTGTGGTAACTCTAAACTCCAGGATCAGGTGTCAGTCGAGGAAGGAAGAGAGAGGAAAAAAAAACCTTCGAAAAGACAAACAACTTCATCTACAGATCAATAAAGAGCGGGAAGCCATAAACAGAAAGTTATGTTAAAATATATATGTACATTGATGGGAAGTAGTATGGGAATGCCTGAAACATACAGAGAGAGCTTTCTCTGCAGAGTGGCCCATCATTAGCTTATCAGCAGCAATAAAACACTTGTTTATTTAGAAACTTGTTCTTCAAGTGTCACCAAGCTACAGTCTATAGTTTCAACTCTGTGTTTGCACTTGTTTAATCACATAGAGGAAACATACCTCACATCTGGGCACAGGTGTGCCACAGCACAGCAGCGAATTATATATTTTTGCACTTTGTACTCTGCTTTATTTATCTTAAAGCTGTAGCAACTAATCCTTTTGCATAAGTAAATGGTAATATAAAATATGAATCTACCAGTAAATTATGCTTTAGTAATATATATAAAGCTACCCAGAAGAATATCAGCTACTTAAATTATCTACAAATGATCGTTAAAGTGATGTTTAGCTTTTTCACGTGAGGGCTAACCAGCTTGTTATGAATGGACGTGCTGAATTTTTTAAATATGCCTGCTGCTATTTTGGTATTTATTTTTAACCCCACTTTTAATTTCCTTGTGATTTTGCCTTTTCTCAAGTCACTGTTGTAAATAATTTAGTGTTCTTAATGACCTAAAGATACAGTCATTTTTGGGTTTATTTAATAGAAAATGGCCTGTATTTGTATAGCGCTTCACTTAGTCCACCCATTCACACACATGTGATGGCAAGCTACATTGGAGCCACAGCTGCCCTGGGGCGCACTGACAGAGGCGAGGCTGCCAGACACTGGCGCCACCGGGCCCTCTGACCACCACCAGTAGGCAACAGGTGAAGTGTCTTGCCCAAGGACACAATGACCGACTGTCGGAGCCGGGGCTCGAACCAGCAACCTTCTGATTACAAGACGAACTGCCAACTCTTGAGCCACGATCACCTAGAATATTGTACTCATAAATTTGTTTGTTTGTACTCATAAATATACAAACAAACAAATATACATCTTGTATTTACGTCTCCCAACAAACTCATGCGTTCTTCCTCCTCGCCTCAAGCCTAATTTCCTGAAGTGAAGTCAAGGCTCTAAAACATGAAAACATGATAACTATTCCCGCTATTGTCATATTTACTTACTGTCAGCAGATCAGACATGCGACCTAAACAACAATACTTGGCTATAAGCTAACATCTTGTCAGCTAATGTTAGGCTTGAGTGTCCTAAAACTCAAACTTTCCCTCACATCGTGTGAGAGGTAATACACCAAGTCCAACAATGTTAGGAAAGTTTAGCTAACGCCGGCTAACAGCAGCTAGCAACAGCGCTTAATGACAGAAAAGTTCAGGATATCCTTAATTACTCACCTCAGTATCGCTATCACTAGAGAGAAGTGAGCTTCACTGACTCATCAACTCGTGCTGGACTCAATTCACAAAGTTTAAAGCCTCCCAAACAGAATGATATGGACACCCGCTGAAGTTAACAGAATGCGGACAGCCTACACTCACTACAGATGGACAGCGGTGAAGTATTTTGTCCTACAGCAGTGAGAGGTTAAAAAATAAAAATGAAAAAATTCAGTTTACTGCAAGGCAAGATTTTACACAATTTACATTTAATAAACCTTACACTGTCTCACTGCATCATCTTGTGGTACAAAGTGGTATTACACAAAAGTACAGCCTAGTCCTAGTTATGCTACAGCTGTTATCTCTTCAACAAAATATAGACATTTTGAACATAAAGTCATAATCGTTGTTTCACATTTTGCTGACAGCTTTACTTGATTTTTGAAATGTCCTAAACTTTTTCAAAGACAGAAATTTACAAGAGTGAACGATTATACAAAGCAATTGTCATACTCTTGTGCAGTGCCATGTTTCTCGTGGGTCTATGTTCCATGTCATATCACCTGCATTATCCCAATTTTAAAGTTGTTACAACCCCAATCATTAAAAAGCTGTGGCACTGTGTAAAATGTAAATAAATACAGAATGCATTGATTTGTAAATCTCACAAACCCATATTTTATCCACGAGAGAACACGCAAAACACAATACCTGGACTCTTCGACTCATCCTTGCACAAAAGGAGCAGATATCAGTCCTGCTGATGGGTTAAGGGTGTTCTATGGCCCTGTCCAGCTCTCCTAGAGTAACTGCCTGTCTCCTAGAACCTCCTCCACGCTCTTAAGAATATCCTGGGGGGACACAGCAAACCTTCTGGCAGTGGCACGTATTGATGTGGCATCCTGGAGGAGTTAGACTACCTGTGGAAGCTCTGTAGGGTTCAGGTATCACCTTATGCTACCAGTAGTGACACTGACCCTAGCCAAATGCAAAACTAGTGATTAAAAAAACAGTCAGGGAAAAATGTCTCATTTTTGCCACTCTAGTGCACCTGTTGTAAATATAATTTATACCAAAGCATCAGAAACGGATTAAAAATCCCTTTCTTACTTAACTGATCAAATCAATATCTCAGGGGTTTAACTGACCTGATGCTATACTCTGATTAAAAAGTGTTCCTTTCATTTGGTATTTTTTACTTTTTGAGCAGTGTATGTACTCTTTACAACCGAAGTCTGCTCCCATTTTGCAGATTACTTACACACCACAAGAGGGCAGCACCTACTCTTTTATCACCAGTGTCACCTCTGACTTCATGTGGGATGAGAGAAGCTCTTTTAATATTGCTAGCCAAGTATGAAAGCTTGAAAAACATAGCCATGTTTTGCAAAGATGACTACTGTCCTTAACTAAATGCATTTATCTAAGATGACACATTGTTTCCTCAAATGGAAACACGTTGGACTTGTTTGGGTTTTTCATTCTTCTGCACTCTACACAAAGTCCCACTTAAGCCTTCCTGGAAAAAATGTGAAATATTTCAAGCATTTCATACCAGGACAAGACTAGGATTAGGATAAGAAACCTGTCTAACCACAGTTTGATACTGTGACCAATTATCTCCATATGACACCCTAACCAACATTAATGTTTTCATACTACGCCCTTGTGATAAGAAAAAATGTTTAAAATTCTGGTACCTGACATCTGATTGTACTGATTGAAATCTATGTGTTGATAAACATCTTAGGAAGCTAATATGGAGCTTTGTTTTCACTTGGTTCAAGCTCAAGGCCAAATTATAGCAAAGAAGATAAAAACACAGCACAGCATTTTCCACCTCGCCCTGCATATTCCAACTAAGACAAGGTTAAACTGTAACTGGAAAAACTGGCAACAAACTAATGAGCTATTGAAATACTACAGCT